AAGTCAATATTGAGTAACTTGCACTCTACAATTACTTATTTTATTTTTATTCCCAGCAGAATTAACCGTTGTGCAACCATTATGAAACTGGCAGAAAGAATCACTACAAATCCACACCGCTGACGTCTGTTGACCAGTAAGCTAATTATCTTAAAGGTTTTTTAATATAAATCTTTTTTTAAAAAAGGTGTATTTTGTGATTATTGAATGTAGCCTAAAAATGATAGTAGTTTCGTTGATATGTTCGTGTTGTGATCGAGCAGCTTATTCTTGCTATGGTTACCTCATTATGCAAAAACGTTTGCAAGCAGCAGGTAAAAATAGACACAAACTAAATTCATATATACATAATATTTAATTATTATTTATTTCTTTAACATTTATAAACAATGTATTTCTACCTGTTGACAAATTCCAGTTACAAGATAGGCTTCTTTGGAATATTAATGTGAAACGTTTCTCAACAAACACAATTCACACGGGGGAACTGAACTGATACACAACTAGTCGCACACTTACACAGTTCTTGAAGTCAGGGAAGATGATAAATCTCCCAGCCGTCGCCATAGCAACGGCCCTCCATCTCCTATACTTGACTTCAATGTTTTAATGGGAGCCTTTGCCACATATTACCAATCTTTTTATTCCCCCTTTCCTCTTCTCAAGCCGCAAAAGTTCCTTTTCTGTTCCTATTTTATGTGCAAGTGATCTCAATTAAGGACCTCCATGAAGGCTAGAGGCGGCAGACAGTCATGCCAATGAGAGCAAAAAGGAAATTGTCTTTATAGCCTGCCGCTACCACCACCACCCCCCTAAAACCAGCCCCCACTTCTCCATCACCACCACCACAGGCCCCCCACTCCACTTTCCATAACGAACACAACGTACTTCCAAAAAAATCATCGTGTTCCTGAAATTTGCGACCATAACACGGGCCCAATTTGCTCTCCGAGCCAGTTCTTATGCCTCTCTGGCAACCCAAAGTCCTGAAGGTCTCGTCTGCAGTGCTGATGTCACTATCCAGTCAATGACAAAACGGCAATTATGGGCTCAGATTAAATCTGGAGGTTGAAAGGATGTTGAGAAGGTCTTCCTGATGAGGTAAGGCTATGAATTCTGCGTACGAATCATCACCATCCCGCTCGTGCACGTATGTTCTCCTGAAGCGTGCCAAGGATGGAAAAGTAACTATTTAAAATTGGAAGCCTCCACAGCCCCATCAAATTGCTCCCCACATAAAGCCATAATTAAGTGTCTCAAAAAATGCACCACTGTGAAATGGAGCCCTGATCCAGGGACTTAAGTGGCTGTGCTTTTCCTCTCAACCGTCGAAAGAATGCGGGACGAGAAAAAAGCGGAGAAAAACACTCATGTAGCACGTTACATAATCCCAGGGCTGTATGAATCTGAATTGGAGTCATTTGGATATCATTAAAGCCCTGGAGCTCAGTGTCTCTTCATGTTTACATTACCAGTCAACAATGGTTTCTTTGTCCCGTGTCATCACTTGTAATTCGCCGTGAGGGGGGGGAAAGTGTTGCTGGCTCATTTTGTTTCCACGACTACTTGTCTGGTTGTGTTGAAACTGGCCTTTTCCAGTACACTGGCAGTTTTTGATGAGCTACCCGCGCTGGATTACGCTGTCAACCCCGTTAAGAGCTCAGCGTATCAGGCCATCAGCAGATAAGGGTTCGGTTACGTACGGCTTATCACATCATCAGCGTTTGAGCTGGTTCGAATCCAGAGCGAGTGTCTGGTGACAAACCGCTCAGAATAGCGTGCGGTAATCCCGGGTTCTTGCTCGGTGGACGGCTCCTAACCCCTCATCTTTGTAGCACATCATAGCCAGCTGTGTGGGCTCCTCTGGGCTCATTAGGAGATCAAACGAGACAACCGAAAAGAAGTGGGCAGAGCTCTCGAGGCACAGTGAGCCACTCGGATCACGTGCGTTCGCTGCTCCACGCTGATATTGCTGGCAGATGGCGGCCATACTGTACTGACAAAGTGGATTCAGATGTGACAAATGCTCTTTGATATCTCGTTGTGTATATGATTTAACACGCCTCTGTGTTTGGACATGTCGACAGTCGCTTTATTTCACTTATTAAGTTTTATTTGCATCATCGATAGCCACGAATTTCGCGTGCATCTGATTGAGCACATGCATCTGTGAGGAATTAACAAAAATCATCTCTTTTTTGCAGTAGGTTTATTTTATTGTCCAAACATATTAGTGATTGAGCAGAAATCTGGAAAAACTGTTGGAATAGCACACATGGTGTTTTTTAATACCATTGTAACTCTGATTTATCTTTTTATGAATTGGAAATTGATCTTTAATAACATTGGCCAATCTTGAACACATTTTCAGTGCTCGGGGCAAATGGAGATGGAGTGTAATTCAATCGCAACTTGTATAACTCAAACTATTTTTTTCTCTCTCTTCACAATGTGCCAGATGCATGTCAGTGCTTCCTGAAGCTTTTTCTATCCCTCCCACGTACAAGATATTCAAAATGTACCCATGACCACCGCCACCCCCACTCATGCCACCCTGCAAGACTTTCATACAATATATGTGAGCGATACTAAGCTACTTTACCTTTTTCCAGCGGAAGTTATGAATCTGTTAGTTATGCAGTTGCTTTTGGTTGGTTTGATTGGCAAAAAATGGCAAATATCTAAAGGTGGCAGTGTTTACCGGACACATTATAAAGTTCTTTCTTTATGTTCTTTCACATTTTTCCATCTCTGTTCTTCAAGAATACATTTAAGGCATATGTTTTTCCCTACTACTGAAATATTAGGATACGTTAAAGCCAAAGTTGGTACCAAGACAAGCATTTGGCAAAATTTGGATTGACTGTTGTCACTGATTAAACAAGTTTGATTTATCTTGCACAGTTCTGCCAACAATAATTAGACGCTTTATTCTTTGTGTCCTATTTGGGTTATTGGCTGTGTCTGTGTTCCCATCAAAGTTATGGACCTGTTATTCTGATAATTTTTTTAAATGTGTGAAACATATTGCAACACTTACTATCCGTGAGCCTGTTGAGTCAGAGGGAGAGATTGCCATCTACAGTATCACTGAGAGATGGAAAGTTGGCGTTATTAAATGACATGTGCTTTAGTTGCACTGCCAGAATATTGAAGGCTGTGTATAGATACTCTGTTCACTGAGTCAAAAGAAACTTTGCTCAATAGGTGTTAAAACGGCAGCCTGTTTAGTCTGTGCTTTATGAGGTAGAGGTGTGTGTAGAAAGTGTATAAAATTATTCTGAAAATATTCTGTCATTATGGCTCACTCAAATTATCCCAGTTTTCAGTTAAACACTTAAGTTTCTATGAAAGCCGTTCTTTTTGTATAGGAGGGTTGAGAACATTTTTGCATGTATTTTAAATTTTATACATCTAATAATTATAGTATTTGTCGGACACAAAAAAAAATTGCATTAAGGGTTAGGTATTATTGGTATTATTGTATTTTTATGATTATTTTTGTTATTAAATGAATTGTTTTACTGTTCAATTATTGTTGAAAAATCCTATCATATTAATGTGACAACTTACCCCTTATAGTGTGACAACATATACCCAGCTTTTGGGGCATGTTGTCACAAAAGGTCAACATGTTTTTCTTGGGCTATATATAATAGTGGAAATGTTCAATAGCTTTATTTTATTTTTGTATTTATTTTGTAGTCAAGACTTTAAGGTATGTGCCTGTATACAGAAATTGATGGGAAAATATTCACTAGATTAAAACTTGCATATTAGTATATTTAGACAAAAGGAAATCAGTATAATTCCAAATATAATCTGCATTTAAAAATGTCCAATTGGTGTTTTTTTTTTTTTTTTGGCCAGTATCTGAAAAAAAAATGAAAA